ACTTGCACTGCCCCTACACCTACAACCTCTGAGGTTTATGTCCCTCTGTTCTTGTCTCCACACATCAACAGCCTCAATCCTTCCTTATTTCTCACTCCATCAAGCTATCTTCATCTTTCTTTTTTCTTGAGAAAAAGACCTGTATTTACTGAGACATTTATCTATTAGGAATTTAACATGTCTTCTTAATTATGCCAATCTTTTAAAATTGTTATTGTTCCTATTGGTGTTCTAGTAACATGGGTAGATAGGTTTTGAGTATTCTGCCCCTATTTTTCCCATAAACTCTGTGAGTTGCAGAACCAAAGGTTTTTCAAGAATGCACATAGTATTAGAGCAGAAATGTCTGTACCTACAGCTTCTACACTAGGCCATGTACTTCAATTCCACAATATCTTGCTCATTCTGTTTCTTTACCTGGACTGCTCATCCCCTTCCTAAACCCAGCTACCATAAAAGAGAAGACGCTTTTCTACTGACATAGTTAATCCCCATTCCCTTATTCTACTGACACACTGAATGCATTATTATTACACTGAGCAACCTCTATTGCAATCATTTGCTCTCTGAAGTTGTTCTTAGATTTTAGCATGCTTCAAGAACACCTGGAGAAGCTAAGACGCAAGGTTGATGGGCTCCATCCCCAAAGTTTCTGATTCCGTAGATCTGGGTTGAGGCTTCAGAATTTGCATTTCTAAAATGTTCCCAGGCCACGCTGCTGGCCCACGGACCACACTTTGAGAACTATTATTTTAGACCAGTGCTGTCCAGTACAACTTTCTATGATGACAAAAATGTTCTATATCTGAGCTGTCCAATATGGTAACTACTAGCCACATGTGTCTATTAGAGTAAAGGAAATATGCATAGCATGACTCAGTGTACTAGTTTCCTACTGCCGCTCTAATTACCACAAATTTAGTGGCTTAAACAAAACAAATTTATCTTACAGTCTCATTTACCACGAAAAGCTCACAGAGAGGATTTCACAGAACTGTGGTTACTACAATTTCAATAACACTTAACTAGCTCTAAATGCTACTGGGCACTTACAAAAATGTAATTGAGGGGCTGGCCCCTTGGCCAAGTGGTTAAGTTTGCACACTTCGCTTGAGCGACCCGGGGTTCACCAGTTTGGATCCTGGACACCGACCTACACACCACTCATCAAGCCATGCTGAGGTGGCATTCCACACAGAAGAACTAGAATGACTACAACTAGGATATACAACTATATACTGGGGCTTTGGGGAGAAAAAAAAATGTAGTTGAATACTTTCCTAAGGTGATGAACTCCTGGACATCAATATCTTCTTTTCTACAACTGCAAAAAAAATTTATCTCTTTGGGTTAAACACTTGATGGGCAAACACAAGCAGGTAGAGGATAAAGAGCAAGTACTGCCACAGTAAGGGTACCAGATCACATTTATAGACTCCTCTGCTGCCCCCTCAGAGTGCTTGAAAATTAGGAGCTATTTGGGGCTGGCCTCGTGGCCAAGTGGTCGAGTTCACGCGCTCTGCTTCAACAGCATGGCATTTCGCCGGTTTGGATCCTCGACACAGACCTAGTACCACTCATTGGGCCATGCTGAAGTGGCATCCCACATAGCACAACCAGAAGGACCTACAACTAAAATATACAAGTATGTACTGGGGGACTTTGGGGAGAAGAAAAAGAAAAGAAAAAAGACTGCCAACAGATCTCAGCTCAGGTGCCAATCTTTAAAAAAAAAAAGAAAATTAGGAAATGGTTGTACTAAAATACAAACCAATAGTCAGTACTAAGATGTCAAAGTTAATAAACGCTTTGCTGTTATGTCCAAGCTTACCAAGTCCAAAACCAAAAAAGATCATCTTTCCATCAACATCTGTCCCCTCCTGACATCTCTACTTCCTTGAGTAGCACTAGCATTCCCTAATAGACTACTGACGCTACTCTGCAATGTTTCTCCCATTTACGCTCATTCTTGCCATCTGAATCTGTGTCCGTCTCTCACTATAGCTATCTAATTATCTCCACTCTCCACATTACATGCTACACACAACTGCTGAGTTAGTTCTTCTAAAGCAGTCCTGCTCATATCACTTCCTGCTTTCCCTTACTTCCCAATGTCTACTGAATAAGTCCAAACTCCTTACTTTGATATGGACTGGTACCTACCTTTCTAGCCCCATCATTCACTATCCCAAGGTTTCCAAAATGCCAAGGTTCAATGAAACTGAGCTCCTGAATTGCAAACACAATTCTTGACACCATCTCCCCACATTTATCCATGAGCTCACAAGCAAGTCTGGGTGTGAATACCCACAGATTAGAACCTAAGAAATGAGATTTTAGAAAAGTCAGGTGACGTATTACACAATTAAGATACTTAGACTTCATCCAGCAGGGAATGGGGAAAGCATTGAAGGTTTTTAAAGCAGGGGAATATCATAACGAAATCTGCATTTCAGAAATTTAACTCTAGCAAGAAGAGTATAGAAAACATTAGTGGCAAGGGAGACAGAAAAGACTATTAAAACAGTGCAGGAGACACTGAAGGGTATGACTAAGTTAGCAGAAGTGGAATAAAGACAAGAAGCAGATCTGAGAGATTTCCGTGGCAGAATCAAAAAGATTTAATGGAAAACGTATTCAAATGTCGATTCTTGATCACTTCAAAACCACAGCCTGAGCTGTCTTTCAAAATTGCAAATCTGGTAAGGTTCACTCCTCTGTTTAAAACCTTTCAGTGCTTCCTGCTGATTTTAGGTTAAAAAACAAATTTTGTCACAATTCTGCTTACTAAGCCCTGAGTGACCTGGCCTCTGCCCACCCTGCAGTGTTAGTCTGCATCGTTCTGCCCCATTCCTCAGCAGTCTTTCAGCTCCTTGAACATGCTGTTTGTTCCCTCCCACCGCAGGGCCTCTGCAAGCAGTGCTCTTTCCTCAAAGCTCTATCTTCACTTAAATCACCTTTGATATTTTGGTTTAAGTAATGTTTGAGCCTTCCCTGGCTATCCTCTGTCTCCACGAGGTTAGGCACTCTGTTATATATTCTTATACCACTGTCTCCTTTCTCTACATGGCCTCTTCTCAGTTTATGATTACATTTTTGTGGGATTCCTGGAGAAATGTCCATCCCAGCCACTGGACTGTAAGCTTCATGAAGACCAGGACTGGCTCTGTGCTGTTCACCGTTGCATCCCCAGCTCTCAGCATAGGGCCTGGCAGGTTGGCAGGTAATAAAAAAAAAACTGTTGGGAATAAATGAAATTCCCAACTTATTAAAGACACTTACTCTAGCTTTGATAGTAAGGTAGTACATGCTTTTAACTGAAATGGAGAACCAAAGAAGATGTGCTGAATTATCTGTAGGACATCCAAACGAAGATATCTATAGACTCCTGGAAACTGGAGTATGTAGGACTGAAGACAAGACATAATTGGCATAGTTGAGATTACTCTCTTGAAATCACAAAGGCCAGTGATTCTCCTGGAAAGGAAGGGAGAAGGGAGCGGAGAAGGATTACGTATCAGAATCTCTTGGGAAGAGGGGCCTTTTCACACTTGCTCTCACCTTCTCCCAGTTGAGGAGCTCGATATATAATGAGAGGTGCTACTGATAGGAGTGTTGCACCTATGAAAAGTGTACAGGCAAAATTTTAACGGTTGAGAACCATGATGATGAAAGAAAAGAGTTGCAAGCTCACTCATAATCTTTTGAGGAACAATTCCAATGGATTCAGACATGAAAGCAAAGCTGGTCTTTTGTGATAGGACAATGTCTTAAAAAGACACTCTAAAGGAAGTTTTCTTTAAAAAAACCAAACTGAGGGAATGAAGTAAGCATTAGTAGAGAAAAACAGGAAAAAGCCAGGGGAGCAGGATAGTGTATTTTTAGGCTCAAATCTAACACTGTAAGATTCCTGAAGAACATATAAGGGGAAAATAACAATAAACACTACATATACTGAACACTATGTGCCAGGCACTGACCTAAAAGCACGAAATATATTATTAACTTATTTAAAACTCTCCCAAAAGTCCCATGAGATGCATACTACTCTTTTTCCCATTTTACAGATGAGGAAACAGATACAGATGATTAACAAACTTGCCCCAAGGTCAAACAGCTATTTCGTGCCAGATCTGAAATGAGATCCCAGCTCTGTCTCTAAAGCCAGGTGAGAAAATCAAGAAGATTCATTAGGGAGAAAAGTACAATTTTTTTGAAAGAAGGCCATCTCTTGTAAAATGGCAAGAAACGCTAGAAGATGACTGGGGTGAGAGTGGGGAGATTCTTGCCCTGAGAGTTTCTGTCCCCCTCCAATCAAGGAGACAATGACTGAGATGGGGCAGGGGCCTTGAGGACAGGCGAAAAGTTTGGAGCTGGAGCTGTGGAGAATGGGAAAGACCAGGGAAGAATCCGAGTCAATACCAACTTGATCCCTGACGCACAAATCCTAGATTCTGTGAATTCTATATTAGCATCTGCGTTAGGGCCTACTGTGTGTCAGGTACGGTTCTAGGCGCTGTGGAGATCAAGACAACTTCTCAGGGCACAGCAGTCTCCGAAACAACCAACGTCAATGACCACCGGAAACAACGAACCTCAAGGACCACCTGACACTTCGGAAAAACCCATTCCTCCAGAGAATCCCATCCGAAAGCCTTTAAGACTACATTCCAAGATGAAATTGGGTTTTGCGGGGGAGGGGCGAGAGCAGCGGTCGAAAGGGCAATTCCGACGTGCGCTCGCTCCCAGCCCCCGCCTGGACCCTCCCGAGGGACCACAGAGGAACTTGAGTGAGAGCCCAAGAGCTGCACCGCGGGCAGCGAGAACGCGGATACCTGCGGGCCCTGGACATCAGGCAACCCCCCCCACACACCCGACTCCGCCGCTCCCTGCGACTCCTTGGCTTCCCAGACGCCGCCGGCCTTCGCTCGGGGCACTACCGCGCCTTGCAACCTCTTCTCCGTCAGCCCGGCACGGACCAGACCCCCACAACAACTTACCCGCCCTGCCCGGCCCAAGGTAGCCCGGGCTCCTTTCTGGACACCGAGGTCTCCCTGGCATGCCCACCAATGCCAGGCCGCAATCTGAACGCGGAGGCGGGATTGAGCGCCCATAGCCAATCAGATCAGACGCAAAGCACGCCGCGGCGCACATAACTAGTTCCCGCCTTTGGGAGGGGGGAAAAAAACACGGTTGGCGCCAAACTCCCGTAGTCTTCGACCGGGTTTAAGGGAAAGGGGCGGGGCCTGAACTGGCGGGGACGGAGACGGGGCGGGGCTTTACTACGGAAGGGGCGGGCCTTGGCGGAGGTAGGGATTGGGTCCGAGTTCTTTAACGAAAGGGAAAGTAAGCTCTGAGAAGGCCCTGTCGTTTATTTAGTCGTTTATTCTATAAATTCTGTTGAGTATCAGCCGAATGCTGGGCGCTGGCTCGATAACAATGAATAAGCGCTGTTCTTTGCCCTCACTTTCCTGGATGATAGGAAGACAGCTTAGCCCAAGGTGTTGGGAGCTTTGAGGAGAGGATACCAATCCAGCGAAGTGGGAGGGAAAGCTTTTTAGAGGGTAGAATACCTGAATTGTCTTACAGAACCTGCAGGAACCAGAAAAGCCAGTAGGGTCTAGTCTCCAGACACAGAGCCTGCGCCGTTGAATGGTGGGGAAGTAAAGCAAAGCTGGCTTCCTCTGCTGCCTCATCTGAAGATCTTGATCTTGATCTCGATCCCTTGCCGTTTCCTCCTGTTTGTCCGTTTTAACAACTTGCAACTGTCGTATCAACTTAATATTTTTAAATTTTTTGAAAAGGCTCCCATTGGAAAGAATATGTTCTGGGTGAACACTGGCTTCCTACATTCTCCCCCAATCAGCTTGGCTTCTGAGAAGTTAGTCAGGTAGGCATTCCAGGTAGTAGAGACTGGGGAAATAGAGGGTGTGCAACACACAAGGTGTTCACTGTTGCTGGAGTGTAAAGTGAGAGGTGAGGCTGGAGAGGGAGGCAGGGGTCAGAACTTGAAAAGCTACATGTATGTCAAAGAGCTTGGAATTTACCTTTAAATGATGAGGTATGAGGGACCACTGAAATATTTTAAGCTTGGGGTGGTTATGATCTGATTTGCATTATTAAGATCCATTGGCCTTGAGAAAGAGGATTTGAGATGCTCTTACAGTGATCCAGGCTATAGAAAACGAGAATCAGAAGGAGATGGTAGGTAAGGGAAGGGATAGATTTTAGAATATTCAGGAGATAAAATCGACAAAACTTAGCAATTGATTGAATATTGGTTTTCAGCATGGGTGCATAATGATGGCATTCATCAAAAAATATTTACTGAGTACATAGCATGTAGACTTCAAAAACAACTAAGTTTCCCCCCAAATTATCATCCAGAAAAGAGTGGTCTTATTATTGAACTCCTTACACAGCCTCTCATTTTACTGTTACTCTCTTAAATACTTTACACTGAAAAGAAATTAGTGATTGGTTTAAAGATCTTCACTTGGCTAGATCTCAGAGAATGCCAGTTTGGCATACTTATAGAAGTCAACTGAAGGAATCAGTATTTTTTTCTGTTTATCAGAAACAAGGAGATGTAACACAGTTACATGTTTTGTGGAGCCTGAAATCGCAACTGCAAATGTTGCTTAAAAAAAAAAGAAGCAATAGAGAAGACGTCTATGCACTTCTATGGAGTAATCTAGGAAGTGTAGTGTTAAGGGGAAAACAAGTACAGTGCGGTGTATGTGATATGCCAGCTTTTGTGTAAGAAACAATGGGGAAAAGAATGTACATCCATTTGCTTGTTGTTGCATAAGAAGCACTTGAAGGCTAAATTAGAACCTAATGAAAAGGCTAACTTATGGGAGAAGACTGGCTCAGGGAATAGAGACGGGAGGGAGACTTCTTTGAGTACGGCTTTTTTCCTTAAACCTCTATTTCAATATTTTTTATAGGCAAATATGCATGGCTTTTCTTCCTTTTTTTAGCAACAGCTTTGTTGAGATATAATTCACATAGCATATATTTCACCTATTTAAAGTGTTGTTTTCCTTTTTATAAACTTTTACTTTTGAACCATGTGTTTCATACATTCAAAGATTGAATTAAATCAGAAAGAAAAAAAATGCTAAAATTGAAAGTAAATTGAAATAAAGGAACCTAACTGTGTCAACAAGAGAAATATAACCACTCAGACAAAAATAATTGTTTCAACTGACATTTGAACACAGTGCTCTGACTGTACATTATTAGTGGGATATATTCTAAGGACAAAAAGAACTGCAAAGAAATCGTATACTTCGTGGAGTAGTTTTGTTAGAATTAATATTGTAATTTGAAACTATTTTATGGCAGTCAGCCATCATATCCACAGGTTCTGCATCTGTGGATTTAACCAACCATGGATTGAAAGGCCTACAACTATTGCATCTGTACTAAGCATGTACAGACTTTTTTCTTGTCAGTATTACCTAAACGATACAGTATAACAACTGTTTATGTAGTATTTACATTGTAATAGGCATTATAAGTAATCTAGAGATAATTTAAAGTATGCAAGAGAGGGGCCAGACTGGTGGCACAGCAGTTAAGTTCAAACATTCCACGTCAGCAACCAGGGGTTTTCCGGTTCAGATCCTGGGTGTGGACCTATGCACCACGTGTCAAGCCATGTTGTGGCAGGCGTCCCACGTATAAAGTAGAGGAAGATGGGCACGGATGTTAGCTCAGGGCCAGTCTTCCTCAGCAAAAAAAAGGAGGATTGGTGACAGATGTTAGCTCAGGGCTAATTGTCCTCAAAAAATAAATAAATAAAATAAAAAATAAAGTATGCAGGAGAATGTGCGTAGGTTATATGTAAATACCATGCCATTTTATATAAGGGACTTGAGCATCCATGGATTTTGGTATTGGGGGAGGGGGTTCTGTAACCAATCTCCTGTGGATACTAAGATTCAACTGTGTATTGTAGGATAAAGAAATATGTAATATGTTAATATTTTTAAGAAGCAAGATATTTAGTAAAAGAGAAAAGAGATCCAAACATAAAATAAAAAAAGTTAGGGGGAAAATTCTACACTATTATATGTAAACTGGAAATGTCAACATGAATTTATGATTTTTAAAAATATATATTTCTTATTTCTGTTCCTTAAAGTCTAGAAGCAATAACATCCCAGTAGCAATACATCATTAACATACCAAAGACCCAAATCATGATTTCTTTTTTTTTTTATTGAGTTAATGATAGGTTACAATCTTGTGAAATTTCAGTTGTACATTAATGTTTGTCAGTCATGTTGTAGGTGTACCACTTCACCCTTTGTGCCCACGCCCCACCCCACCTTTCCCCTGGTATCCACTAAACTGTTCTTAGTCCATAATTTTAAATTCCTCATATGAGTAGAGTCATACACAGGTTATCCTTCTCTTGCTGGCTTATTTCACTTAAAATAATTCCCTCAAGGTCCATCCGTGTTATTGCACATGGAATGATTTTGTTCTGTTTTACAGCTGAGTAGTATTCCATTGTATCTATGTACCACATCTTCTTTATCCATTCGTCTGTTGCTGGGCACTTAGGTTGCCTCTATGTCTTGGCTATTGTAAACAATGCTGCAATGAACATTGGGGTGCATAGGACTTTTGGGATTTCTGACTTCAAGCTCTTTGGATAAATACCCAGTAGTGGGATGGCTGGATCGTATGGTAGTTCTATTTTTAGTTTTTTGAGGAATCTCCATACTGTTTTCCATAGTGGCTGCACCAGTTTGCATTCCCACCAGCAGTGTATGAGTTTTCCTTTTTCTCCACAACCTCTCCAACATTTGTTGCTATTAGTTTTAGATATTTTTGTCATTCTAATGGGTGTAAGGTGATATCTTAGTGTAGTTTTGATTTGCATTTCCCTGATGATCAGCGATGATGAGCATCTTTTCATGTGCCTATTGGCCATCAGTATATCTTCTTTGGAGAAATATCTGTTCATGCCTGCAGCCCATTTTTTGATTGGGTTGTTTGAGTTTTTTGTTGTTGAGTTGTGTGAGTTCTTTATATATTATGGATATTAAGCCTCTGTCAGGTATATGACTTGCAAATATTTTTTCCCAGTTAGTGGATTGTTTTTTTGTTTCAATCCTGTTTTCATTTGCCTTGAAGAAGCTCTTTAATCTGATGAAGTCCCATTTGTTTATTCTTTCTATTGTTTCCCTTCTCTGAGAAGGCATGGTGTCCGAAAAGATCCTTTTAATACTGATGTCAAAGAGTGTACTGCCTACGTTTTCTTCCAGAAGCCTTATGGTTTCAGGTCTCCCTTTAGGTCTTTGATCCATTTTGAGTTTATTTTGGTGAATGGTGAAAAAGAATGGTCAATTTTCATTCTTTTACATGTGGCTTTCCAGTTTTCCCAGCACCATTTGTTGAAAAGACTTTCTTTTCTCCATTGTATGCCCTCAGCTCCTTTGTCAAAGATAAGCTGTCCATAGATGTGTGATTTTATTTCTGGGCTTTCAATTCTGTTCCATTGATCTGTGCATCTGTTTTTTGTACCAGTACCATCCTGTTTTGATTACTGTAGCTTTGTAGTAAGTTTTGAAGTCAGGGATTGTGATGCCTCCCGTTTTGTTCTTTTTTCTCAGGATTGCTTTAGAAATTCGGGGTCTTTTGTTGCCCCATATGAATTTAGGATTCTTTGTTCTAATTCTGTAAAGAATGTCATTGGGATTCTGATGGGGATGGCGTTGAATCTGTAGATTGCTTTAGGTAGAATGGACATTTTAACTATGTTTATTCTTCCAATCCATGTACATGGAATGACTGTCCATCTCCTTATGTCGTCATCCAATTCTCTCAGAAAGGCCTTGTAATTTTCATTATATAAGTCCTTCACTTCCTTAGTTAAATTTACCCTGAGGTATTTTATTCTTTTTGTTGCGATTGTGAATAGTATTGTGTTCTTGAGTTCTTTTTCTGTTAGTTCATTATTGGAGTATAGAAATGCTACTGATTTATGCAAATTGATTTTATACCCTGCAACTTTGCTGTAGTTGTTGATTACTTCTAACAGTTTTCCAGTGGATTCTTTGGGGTTTTCTATATATAAGATCATGT